AGGCAGACAATCTCCCCCCCCTCCCTCCTGTGCTCGGTGCAAGATATGCTTTGGTGCCTTTGGAGCAATGTCTTAGGCACGCGGCCGTGGTGGAGCTACTGCTGACCCACCGAGCAGATCCTACAGTTGCCCCGGCCTGGCTTAGCAGAGAGGCCGAGTAGTAGCCCAGCATACCTTGTGTGGCGCTTTGTTGAGGTACCCGATTCTGAAGGTTTGAGGCCGCTGGACTGGGCAGATGCGGCTGGCCATGCCTCTGTACTTTGGCTCCTGGGCTCGAGGAGTGCCAGATAACAAAGCCGTGCTGCCCATTCGAAGCACAGGGGATGAGGAAACGCCTAAGAAGGCAAGAGGCGATCTGGTATTGATAGCTTTGCACCCTCGTGGTTGCTTCCTTCTGTAACCTTGCTTTCGCAATGCTTTTTCATGCTTTAGACTTCAGACCGTCCTACGAGACAAGTCTTCATTCAACGTCTCAGTTTCCAGGGTTGGGGAGTTGCAGAACATGATGGACACTTCTGATCTAATTTGGCAGCAGCAGATGTTTTGCAAAGCAGAGTAAACGAGTTTCATGCCATGCGACTTTCATGAGGCCCTCTGCCCGTGACCAGGACCACAGGACCAGGGGCCACAGAGTCGGAGGGACCTGGCAGGCGCGGCACGCTTGAACGGATGCCTTGCGGCCACTGTTTGGTTTGTTTGAGCTCGACTTTCTGAGGCCTCCTCGCCCAAGTCGAAGACTCTACGAGAATAGCTTTCGGGAGAAGTTCCGCGGCAAGAATAGGCCACGCCGTGACTCGCTCCTGCATGACTGTTCTCGTCTCCCGCATCGATTCTGCGCGTGTATAAGGTCTGCCATAAGCTCTCCTCACGTGTCCTATCGGACACCCATCTTCACAAGATCGACCCGCTCGGGTGGTTGAGCCTGAATCTCTGGGAGCAGCATGAAAACGTGCCAGAAGCAGTTGTCCCCGGTCTCCCCTACTACACACTTCTCAATGCAAACAGCCTACCGGAAGTTCAAGAACCTGAGAGAGTGGTCTGAGTCATTGCCATTATGTGTTCCCCAAAGAGGATGGTGAGCTGATCGACTGCAAAGACGAGATGTGGCGAGCGGCGCCGACTGGCTAAGCAGAAGGAGAAGTACAGACCCCCTTCCAGATAGATGCAGGTGATGCCAGCGCCCTGGCATGTGCTTCCGGCCTGATGAACTTTTTCCTGTTCGCCGTGGCGCCAGTCAGCAACAAGCGACTTCATGATGAACTTTTTCGCAAGATCCCTCGGAGGCATCAGCAGAGAGTTTGCTACACCTTCGGCTTCCGGGGCCTCATCTGGGCTCAGTTCCCGGCACTCTCTGCCAAACTATCTTCCTATTCAGCCCTTCGCGAGCGGTTCGTCACTTGCCGCAGCTTTGCGAAGGTGCGCCGCTGTGAGAAATACAGGCGCAGGTTGAAAACCCAATGTCCCTGGCGGCCCAGTCAGATTCCTGTGATGATGATGATGATGAAATGTGGACAATTCGTAGCCTTGGTACTTGGCATTGGCAGTCTTGGTTTGCTTCTCGCTCTTTGTGAAGTTCGACAGATGTCATGATGGTTCGGCCGTGAAGACATCGAGTTTCCGGCCATGCGGGTCGGTTCGGAACCGCTGCAGCACGACAGCGTCAGACTCATCATGCAGCGGAGCATGTGATGTTTAATTCGAGGGCAATCGGTTACAGCTGTTGAGATCCATACTGCCTAGACGAAAAATGTTACATCGCAAATGCTCACTGCTACGGGACATGTGGGTGGTTTCGCTTCCGTTCTACAAAACATGAAGGTCCCTTCTTCTTGAAGAACCTGAAGTCGGTCTTAAAGTGGTGGGCACTCCTTTTTCATGCCTGCGCGCTCAGCATGCTGACTTGCCTATATGGGAGTTTCCGAAAATTAGGGGTACCTTATTTTGAGGTCCTTATAATAAGGATGCTACTATTTAGGGTACTATATTAGGGTCCCCTATTTTCGGAAACCCCCCATATGATGTCAGCCAGGGTCCTTGCAAGCAAGCGAGTTCGGACATGCGCAGGAGACATTTGAATTCTGCGCGCTTGCAGGCCCATCCGCTGGCTTTTGCCCGAGCCAACGTGTGCCGACCCAAGGGCAAAGCTTGTTTATTACTATTGTTGTTATTATTATTGTTATTATTATTATTATTATCATTATTATTATTATGATTATTATTATTATATTATTATTATTCTTATTATTATTATTACTAGTGTTACTATTACTATTATTATTAGTATTATTAATATTGTTACTATTATTTTTAACATTGTTACTTATTATTATTATTATTAGTATTATTATTATTATGATGATGATGATTATTATTATTAGTATTGTTACTATTATTTTTGTGAGACACGGATGGAGCTCTGCTTGACATGGTCTCAGGAGCACGGTGCTACACACGAGTGTGGAGGCGGCACCTGTCGTTTTCCGGTAGGCGGTGGCGAGGTACATGGGTAGTTCTCTAAGTTAGGGTCCCTTTTAGGGCCCTTTTTATAAGGGTGCGGTACAAAATTTGGGACCCAAAAAGGGACCCTAATTGAGAGAACTGCCCACATCGTGTTTTTGTAAAGATCAGGCTCCTTACTGAGAGGGTCCGCAATGTCGACCCTCGTGCCCTTCAATGCGACATGCTATGTGTGATGCATCGGATTCATGATTTAGCAATTCGGCCAGAGCTGCGTTTCCGCGCGTTGCAAATCATCTCGACAATTGTCCAGGTCTTGCGAACTTTGACCGGGCTACAGGTACCTTTGGAGTCGTCATCTCGGGAAGCGCCGAACACCTGCAGCATTCGCCACCATGCAGATCTCAAAGTTGTCGCGATAGCGGGAGCAGACTGCACCCCGACATTCAATGTGTGAAGGTTGAGACCCTGGTTGGAGGGCTTGCTCAGGAGCTCGTCGCTACCTCAAGTGATGTTTCGCAGTGCCCAAAGCACCACAAACTCTTTCAGTTCGAAGGCGGCTAAGACTAAGATCATGATGACGATTCAGGGGACGCGAAGTTGTTTCTTAAGAAGCAGCACGCAGAGGGTACAGCTTCTCCGGCGCAACATCTGCCCGAGCATGCTGACACGCAGCGGGTGACGTTCAATGCAAAGGCTGTTCCTCCTTTGCAGATTGTCGGTCAGTCTGGACTTTGAGGCTATTGATGCTGGCACATGGCTTCAACACGGCGGGGTCTGCTAGTTCCGCTGCGGCGCGGGAAGCAGGGATCTAACGAACAACTTCTGCAGCAGGTTTCCATCCGCCAGGGTCCACAGCCCAAGCAGCAGGGGGTTGCCCACGAGGCAGCTACCACGAGATGACGGGGCTTGTGTTAGTCTTTGCAGTTCACGAGTCACGAGGAATCATGAGGACCAAAGTCTGGCAGGCAGCTGCCGCATGTCACAGCCAGTTCGCGATGCGCTTAACTGCTCTTTTCTGACACTCTGGCTGAGCTAAGCTTGAAGCCTCTCTCCGGCCTGGGCCAAGGGCGAGTTCGTTCGCAGCCACGGACTGGGGGACCTCTGCGAGTGCCGCGGCCAAACCAGATTCCTGCGGTCACAAGAGAAGGTCCAAACATCAAAGCGAAAGCCATGGTCTCTTCAGGCTGGCATGTCGGGCTGCGCTGCGCTTGACGGAGGAAGAGGCTTTGGCACTGCATGTGCTGGAGGCTTCCTCAAAACGGAGAGGAGGTCACGGCATTTGTATCGAATTTCAGGGTTGCCATTTTTTTTTGCTGGATGTTCAAGCTCTCAAAGCAGAAGCCGCTTCTCTCTCCCATCACCATGGAGACGCTTTCCCCTCGAAGCCACTAGCAGGTGCAAGCATGGTTGGAGGATCCGGAAGATCAGCTCCTGGGTCAGCGTGGCATGTCTTCAGCTCTTGGTCGCTCGTCACACTTGGGAGCTGTTGGAAGCCTGTGCCAGGACCCCAGTGCCAGACAGAGCTGCACCAAGCAGGTGGTTTGCTGAGCACTTGCTTACGGTGTGGGTAGTGTAGGTGTTACCATCAGATGTGGAAGGGAAGCTGAGCTCGCATGCATTGCGCAGGCGAGTCGTGCGCTCGCCTCAGCCGGGTGGAGCCAGGACGAGTGAAAGAAACACTGAGATAAGATCTGTCTTTGCTGCAGACGTGCTGGCCTGCACTGCAGTAACATACGAACCTGTGCACGAACGCCCCGTTTCACAAGCGTCAAATGGTACGATTCAAGGGAAGAGCCCTTACAAAGAACCAGAGGCTTGTAATCAGGATCATGCAGGGCATGACAACGTGGCTGAGGCATCCGTGCGCTGGGACAGCCTCCCCTGCAGCAGCCTCTCGTGGAGCAACCCGGCCAATCGAATTCAGGTCTTGTGACTCGAAACGACACAGGCAACTGTTGGTAGTTCATTTGGATTCGGGGTTGCTGGCAGCGTCGAGTCACGTGTGTCGACTCCCCTCCTGTGTCTAGGCACATCGCCAAGCGAATGCAGGAGCCCCGAACCTTCGGACGCAGCGCAGTGCGGTGATTTGCACGGAGCAGCTCTTTCGTGTATTCCGGAGGAGGAGATCGCGCAGCCGCCTTCTCTGAACGACGCCTTCGATGTCATTGCAAGAAAGGACTGCGCAGTTCTTTGGCGGTTATCCCTTTCACGCCCCGAGGCCCCAGAACAAGCGCGCATAGTCTTGGGGGCATACTTTGGCATTGAAGCTTTTCTCTCAGAACCAGCAAGGGCTATGCTCCCAGTTACCTTGTGGCTAGGTCGCATGGTCGCATCTGAATAACAATTTCACTCACCTGAGTGAGTAGCGTTGAGGTTGAGGCTTGCTGTCAAGTTTCGACATGGAGCAGCTTGTTCCAGCGCAAGGGGTTCGAAAGTGCTGTTCTACGCAAGTACATGGTCAAGTCCAGAGCCGCTTCTGCGGGCGTCCCATGCCTTGTTGCATGGTTCTTGCACTTGTTTGACCATTGCCTGTGAAGGACATGTTCCTGTCCTTGCTGGCCTTCTGCCAGTCGCAGCTGAAGCCGCACCTGCAGCCGGATGCTTGGCGATGCGTCAGGGGTGGACTTGGCTGCTCAGCTTCCCGCAGGTTTTCGGTGATGCTGGGCTTCTTCGGCCCGATCGCCAGCCTCGTGCCGCACCTCGGGCCCCAGGCGAAGACGGGGGAGACGGGGGATCGCTGGAAGGGAACCGGGGTACTTGCGCCTTGCGCCTGCGGAGGCCCCCGGCATCCTGCTGCCCGTCCGGCTCTGCGTCGTCATCAGGCGGAAACGGGAGGGCCGAGGGCCCCGGGCCGAGGGCCCCGGGCCCCACTGAGAGAGTGCAGCTCTGTTCCCAGGGCCTGGGCTTCAGAGATACCCGAGAATGCTCTGGTGCCAGGGTCTCGGATCCCTTTTTGCTTTTTTGGTTGCGCCACAGAAGTGGGCGCCGCTTCGTCCCTCGAGTGGGGTGAGGTCGGTGGTGCAGCTGCTGCAAGGCTTCCTCCGAAGCGAGAGCCCCAAGGCCCCAAGGGACCTCGGAGAGACAAGAGCAGAATAGACTCTCTCAGACTTTATGGGGTTTAGGAGGATTCAGGGTCTCCGGGTCCCCCAAAGCCTGTTGATTCCAGACCGTGAGATCCTTGGGACCCTGACAGGCGGTGCGATTGGCAGCCTTATCGCCCCTGAGAGCCATGTGCAGAGCCGAATGAAGGGGGAGTGCTTGTGCCATGTGGGCGTTTCAGACCACGATGTCATAGGGATCTTGATTACAAGGGCCCCAGAAGTGAGGTGCCCCTTGTCTTGAGAACCCCGTCTGTCCAGGTTGGATCGCTTCTCGGACAGTGAGGCTTGGACGGAGGTGCCCAAGCTTTCGCGCTTTCCTCAAAGCTGCGCAAAGGAGGCGAGCTCGTTGCAACGGTGCCTGGCAGGTCCAGGGGGCGCTGATCGATTCCTGCTTGGCCGGGGAACCCTACTTTTGTGTTTCTTGCCGTGACCCAGCGCGGCGTCTGGATGCTTATATATATATAATATAATATTATTTACAGTATGCTGTAATGAATATTAAACGGTTTAGGAATGAAGCCAGGCCCTTCTCTACATCGTCCAGGCTCCGGAGGTGCAGTGGCGCTGCCCGAGCCTCGCAGCTCCCGTCCGACGGGGCGCCTCTGCGCTCGCGCACAGCTGCGAGGCCTGAATCTGATCCACCTCTTCCTGGTGGAAGAGGCCGAGAGTGGGAGGTATCAGGCCCGCTGGCGGCGAGGAGGCGGCCCTTCGCAGGCTTGTTGTTTTGTCTTCTTTGCCGGGAGGCCACTGAGAAGACGCTCGAGCAGCTTGTGGCGCTCTGGTGTCTTGCTCAGAGAGCTTTTAAGGAAGCATCGGAGTATTCGGAGTAGACTCGCAGCCAGGCGGCGGCCGGAAGAGGGAGAGCTCTTGATCCGCCATGCGCTCTTAGACGTGCTCCGTGCCTTGGTGCTGATGCCCGAACCCCGGAGCAGGGCCAAAAGGCAAAGGCAAAGGCGAGTTCAAGGTTTAGGGCCACTTGCCAGGTCGGACAGGACCCGAAGCCCTCGCCTGTCGTTGTCGCCACCGCTCCTGTCCTGCTGAACCGGGCTCAGCTTCGATGGCTCTCGTTGCAGGGGGCCAGGCATGCGAGCAACGGAGGTCTGACCGTGATATCAGACTGCTATGCCGCTCACAGAGGCCATCTGCGCCTGCTTGTGAAAGCACATGAAAGGACCTAGGACCTAGGATGGCTCGGCCCCGGCACATGTCATACTTTCCACCTTGGCAAGCGCAGGTCCTTCCTCGCCTCAGCGGAGTGGCTACGAAGCCACGGCAGCACTTCAGGCCATCCCGCAACTCCGCTTCCAAACCCTCAACAAGTGCTCAACCCCATGTGCTATCGCCCGCAGCCGGGACGGTTAGGAAAAGTGCTTGCTGAAGATGGCTCGTCTTGGGTTTGGGTTGTTTAGGCAGGACTTCCGAGAAGCTTCTGTGGCAGTGACTTTTCGTGTGACGAGGAGCAAAATCTGATGTACGGGAGTTCTCGATTGTGCATGCCACCAGCCGTAAGCTATGAGCGTTGCCAGCATTTGCAACTGGATTCTTCCTGCATGTGGCACGGTCTGCGGACACCCGCGACAGGCAGATGCAGAATCAGCGGCAGGCTCGCCGAGCTTGCTCAAACTGCTGTTAACGTTGTCTGACATGCCGCGACTCTTGGCAGGAGCACTGGGCGATGCAGGCAGTGCCACTGCGACGCTGTTCGACTCGGGCAGTGCTTGCAGCTCAGTTGACCTGCGCGTATTTGGAGATGCCAGGATGCGGCGGGCCCGACGGAAGGTGTTCGATTGCGAAGCCAAGGTTCTGTTTCTGGGTGTGCTGAGAACCGTGGATGTGGAGCAGGCAGGCCTCAAGATTTCAGATCACTGAAGTGCAGATCTGCCGACCAGCTCTCTGAAGATCTCGGCAGGCAGCTCCTCTGATGCCTTTCTTTCCCAAGCTTCTAGCGCAGCAGACTGCTCTGGGTGCAGCGCACTGAGCATCAGGTCTGAGTATCTCAAACACCAACTTGGCTGCTCCGATGCATGCAGTGCAGCACTGGTATCGAGGGGCGACCACCTGAGTGGACGATGGACATTCTGCTGGAGCTGCCTGGCATGTAAGACAGGGCTCCGAATATTGCAAAGTGGAATCGTTCCGCATCTGCGCAAGCTCAGGTATTGCGCCTTGCACTGCTCGGGTGGTACTTGCCCCAGCGCAAGAGATTCAAGAGAGACTGTAGGGCCTTCACCGCCCCTTGACGAAGCGAAGCGCTCTTCAAGCCTTAGAGGGCTTTGCGCCAAGCAGACAGCGAGGTGCGGCTGCTCACTTGGAACAGTTTTATCCCGCTCTGCTCCAGATTTGCTCGGGAGCTCAGCCGTGCAGCCAAGTGTCGCCTCGGAATTCCTCGGTTTCCAGACGAAGGTCAATCGCAGCTGAACTTGCCAGATCAGAGTCGCACCACCGACATGTGCCACAGCCTCAGCGACCATGATGCGTTATACTATACTATAATATACTATAATATACTATAATATACTTTAATGTACTTTAATGTACTATGCTATACTATCATATACCATCATAGGCCAGAATATAATGTGTGCTAGCTTCGGGCCTGGACTCCGGTGTGGGCTTAAGGAGTTGAGGCGGATGCGAAGCAGCTTGAACGTTCTTGCCGCCGGTCGTTGAACTGAGGCCTGCAGCTTCTCCAGTGCCTGCCTCATTCGAAGTGTGAATTCTCGAGTGTTTGTTGGTGTTCGTGCCGGGAGACGGTTCAGAATTCGGAGGTTATTGGTGGCCCACGCCCCAACTGCCGATGCCAGGACTCCCAGACACAGAGAGGAACCTAGTGCCACAGTTTTGGTCATGCGACCTGTTGCCGAGGCTCTTGCGAAAGCACGTGAAGTGGCCGTGTGCTGCCCAGAAGTCCTTGGAGTCACTGCCCATGCGTTGCGCTTGTAGCGCGAGGCTCCGTTGCTCAGACTTTGGGTCGCTGCCTCGGACCTTGCTCCAGGATCGGGCTTTGATATCGCAGAAGAATAGAGTGGTCTGGCATGTGAGACCAAGTGAGGGCCAGAGCTAAGATATGGCGGAAGGGGACAGGCCCAGGCCTGACCTTGAGATGAATCGAGGTCACCACTGCGAGCAACGACGCGGGAACCACGAAAAGTGTCGCATGATTGCACTGAGTCACTCTGTTTCGGTTGATGTCATCCGAACTGACATCCTGAGCGTCCTCAGGCATTTGCATATCCGATCACCACCTTCCTGGCGCTGATTGGGGCCACTTGGGTCTGAAGCAGTCCTCGAGACCTTTGGTCTCTTCCCAGCTTAGGCCTGGCATGCGTCTCACCCCAGGGACTTCCTGGAGCAGGTGCTGCCCTGAAGAGGAGGGGTCCCTGATTCAGGGAAGCCTTGGTCCCTTGAGGCCAGTGCGGTGGGGCCGCAGCGTGTGGCGCTGCTGCTTGCCGTCTCCTGCAAGCAGGCGGAAGTGCTCGGGGCATACCTGCTCCTGGGATTTCCTTGGTGGGTCCAGGGCTTTTGCCGGGCACGGTTGAGCCTTGTTTTTGGGTTTGCCAGCCATGATCGGCCGTGTGCGGCCTTACCATGCCAGTCATTCTCCAGCCGCCACACGCTTTGCGGTTCAAGCTTATCCAAGCAGTTTCGCCATCCGTTTTCAGTGTAACGCACGTGTGCGTGCAGGAACAAGGTTAGGCGGGCGGCCGAGCAGCATCTCGGCTCGCCCGTCATTTTCTGTGATTGCTTTCAGATCCTCTCGCCTCCCTTCGGGTCATGTCGTCCGGGTCCACGCCTGCGCAGTTCGCCGCCGCTGCCCCGTCGTCGCCTTTGGGGGCGGCTGGCCTTGAGGCGACTCCGGGCGTGGACCGTTGGCACGACCTGGGCGTCTACTACCACTACGCCTGGTGGTTTGGATCTGAACAGCCTCGACGGGCTGGAGCCTACGCCGGCTGAGGCGTCCGCCTCCCCGGGCATTTTGCCCGTCGAGGCCCTTTCGCCGGGCGGTGCGCCGGGGGGTCTGGAGCCTGACGACAGTCCAGCTCCGTCCGGCCCGCCCCCGCCGGCAGGCGGCAGCGACAGGGGCACCCAGACGTATGAGGACCACTTCATCAGGTCCTTCGTCGCTGCATGTCGGTGCCCCGCCTGGCCGCAGTGATTCGGGCCCTGTCGCCTGAGGACGCCGCGAACCTCCGGGCGGCCTTGGTCGAGGCTGACGCCACGCCCGACCAAGACACCGCCGCCGTGGGCGAGGATCCGTCGACTATGTCCTGGTCGGCGCCTTCGGCATCTGGGGCGCCTGGGGCGGACCAGCCCACGACAGATCCGGGCCCGTCTGCGGAGGCGCGCGCATTCTGGGAGGGGCGCGACCCTGCTCCCGCCAGGGCCCCGCCGCAGCCAGTCGCCGACCCGCCGCTCCCGGAGGCGGGCTGGGACGCTCTCACGTCCTACCTGGCCGAGTTCGACTCCGCCTCAGGGGCGCC